CCGGTGGCGCTGCCGGAGGGGCCGCGGGCGCAGGCGGAGCAGCTGCTCCAGGCCCTGGGCGACCACCCCGACGTCGTCCAGCTCTTCCACAACATCCAATAGGAGCCGGGGCGAGGGGGGCGTGGCCGCTCCTCTGCCACGCCCCCTCGGTTTTAATAAACGCTCGTTTGGTTGTGACTCCGCCCCCTCCCCGAAAAACATGGCGGCAGCGGTGGGCGGGGCCACTTATGGGGGTGGGCGGGGTTTATTGGGCGGGCGGGGCACTTGTGGTGGGCGGGGTCACTCGTCGGAGCCCGCGGGGCTGCCCAGGAAGATGTCGGCGTATCCGAAAGCCGGGGCGGCTCCTCCTTCCTCCTCCTCTTCATCGTCTTCATCCTCATCCTCCTCCTCGTCGTCGTCGTCCTCGTTGTCGTCGTCCTCGTCCTCCTCCTCCTCCTCGGCGCGGCCGAAGCCCCGGCGCCGCGGCGACGGCCCCAGGAGGGCGGCCGGGGGCACCGAGGGGTCCTCGGGGGGCGGCCTCGTGGGCAGGACCCCGTCGGGCCTCGGCTCGTCCCGCTCCTCCAGGGGCGGCCTCGACCCTTCCCGCAGCACGTCCGGCCTCGGCGCGGCCCCGTCGCGGGGCCTCGACCCCCCCGCCCGCGGCCACGAGTCATCCCTGGACCCAACTGGTCTTGTCCCAGTTGGCCACGAGTCATCTCTTGACCCAACTGGTCTCGTCCCAGTTGGCCACGAGTCATCTCTTGACCCAACCGCTCTTGACCCCGTTGACCTCAACCCGTCCCACTGCCCCTCTTTGGCCGCCCCCGCCGCCCTCCCCCCGCCCGCCCTGCCCCCCTTGGCGCGTCCCTGGCGCCGGCGCGTCCCCCCCCCAACCCCCTCCTCGGCCGGGGGGTCCCCCGGGGGGGGGTCCCCGGCGCGGAGCCGGAGGAGTCGGGCGAGGAGGAACCTCCGCTCCTGGCGGGCCCGCAGCCACTTGGCCTCCAGCCGGGCCACCTCGTCGCACAGGGCGCCGTTCTCGAAGACCAGGGCGCGGGCGGCGCGGCGCAGACGCCGGTACTGCAGCCGGTAGCGCTCGGCCGGCCGCGGCCGCGCCGCCTTCGGCATCGCCGGCACCTGCGGGAAGGGGGGGGAGGGTTGGGCAAAGTTGAGACAAATCCGCCTTGGGTTGGCAAAAATTGACTCAAAATGAACCAAAATCGACCCAAATCAGACTTGGATTGGCCCAAGTTGACCTTGGGTTGACCCAAACCAGCCTTGGGTTGGCAAAAATTGACTCAAATTGAGCCAAAATCGACCCAAATCGGCCTTGGGTTGGTTGAGTCCAGATTGACCCAAAT